ATGAATGAGACATTATTAATTGCTCCACCTCCTCTAATCTTGTTCCAATTCAATAGATATATTCATGTTAAGTTACGTTGGTGTACTAGATGTTCTAAGTAGGATAGGCTTATTTCGCATTCGTCTATATCTAGATTATTAGACTCCACAATAACTTTATAAAATTAAATCTTCCACGATAAATACCCTAAAACTCTTGCCTATAATCATACTAGTACAGTAGTACATGGTGAAAGACTGAAAGGAAGCCTTTTTCTATTCATTAACAAAATAGTTACCAACTTTTTTTTTTAAATAATTAATATTAAAACTATATTTTCATTATCAATTAAAAAGATAACACGATTAACCAATCAAAATGAATTTTTAAAAGTTTATGTTGCTATATATATAATGAAGTGTTTGGTAAATAGCTGTTACTCCTATTAGCTGATTGGGTTAGTGAGTTTGATTAGTTGATAACATTAGCTGATTGTAGAAAAGTGTTTGATAAATTAGTTGTTAACTAACTACATACAAAATGACTTTCTCAAAAAGTTGATGAAAAAAACTACTTTGAACAGCTTTTTGATTTTTAGCATTTTAGAGCGATAAGGTGTTACAAAAAGCTAAAATTAGTCAAATACTCATATTGATTGTTTAACCAAGTCAAACAACTAATAGTGGTCAAATAAGTTAAAATTAACTGATATGCTAACTATTTTACCAAACAGGGCCAATATATTTCTATCATTAATTTAATAAATTTAATCTTTAGATAAAAAAGATTAGTTCATATATTTTTTGTAAATTAATTTTATTTGTATAAAAATATAAAACAAAAATAAACTTAATTTGAAAAAAAAAATTAGTTCATATTACAAGGTTGACCAGTTGACCATGCTCCAAGGTATAACAATCCTTTACAGTTCAAATTAACTCTGGACTAATTATTTATTTATTTTATCAAGTTAACCCTTTAAAAAAAACCATAACCATAAATTAAACCTAGAGTCATTAGGCTTTCAGTTGGATTCATTAAAAAATTTTAAAGTTTAAAATTTAAATTCATAAACTTTCTATTTTAACAAACATCATATTTATATAGAAACTTAAAATATTATTTAATCAATTTAAATCTCTAATTTCAAATTCCAACTAAAAATGTAATGGAACAGTTATTGATATTTGTATAATATATATAAATAACCTTTTTTGTATTAATAAATTTGTTTGTATTTAAAATTTTTAATTGACTAAAAATTAATTAATTAATTAATTTATGTAATAGAGTGAGTAGCATTCAAAAAAAATTATTTATTTACATTTATAATTAATAATTATAATAATTTTTTTATTTTCATAAACAATAATTTATTTTATAATATAAACAATAATTTATTTTCAAAATGATTGGTGGCAGTTTGCGACAATTTTTCGTTGCTTGCTTGTTTCTTACTTACGCCTGAAGAGTGAAGATAGTGAATAGCGATACAAAAGGAGGTGCAGACCACTAGCTTTTTTGGAAATTAAAATCAATATAATTCATGGCTGATAAATAAATAACAAAAAAATAAATAAATAAAGAGACAAAAGAAAGAAAAGAAAGTAGAAACTAGAAAGTGAGTGGAGATAATGGTTTCAACGTGGGACGTCGCTACTAGCTCATTATATTCATTTTGGTTGTTGCTTTCTTTTTATTCTTGAATAAGATATGGATGCCTATAACAACAAATTGAAATGAACAATGGATTGGAATTTGGAAGAAGACAATTAAGTGAATTGAAGTCGTCTACAAACCTCAACCAATAATTATAACAGGAATTAGGTCACCTTACAAGGTGGACTCTGGTCCAAAATATAACAACAACATTTCAACTGTCATGATTAACGTAACGGTTACATTAGTGTTGTTTCATTTTTTTTTTTTCAAAAATTATGTCGAACATGTTTTTGAACATTAACTTTTGGGATTCTACACATATATAAGACATGTTATGAACATAAAACAAGATGAGTGTCATGACTACAATATGTGTTGTAGGGTCAAGTTTATGAACATTAAGCTTAATTTGAGTTTATGAACATATAGCATTTAGTTTCGGAGCATTAGTTTTGAATTTCTGAATATATAAATGGTGAAAATAATTTTTTTTTAAATGACGTTATTTTAGAACAATATAAACCTTGGTCCACGATATAATTTGCATAACTCAACCTCCATGGCTCTCTAAAGATTAATTGGACCCACTTGTAAAGGTTTGTGCAGCTCGACCAAACAGCCAGTTTAAGGTTTAGATCAATTGCATTATAATCCCTTAGACAAAGATTTCATTGGACCCAGTTCCAAGTGTGCTCTTTTATTTATTTATTTATGGGAAAATGACACTTTTTCCCCCTGTGTTGTTTACATATAGCATATTTTCCCCCTGTGTTGTTTATGTAACCACTTTATCCCCCTCAATTGTTTTTGAAGTGGCTATTTTCCCCCCTCTCCGTTAAATAAGTGTTAGGGCTGTTAAATATGAGGGTAAAAATGACATGTCACTTATTATTATTATTATTATTATTATTATTAAAATATAATAAACTATGTTAACATTTCTTTAAATTAATACTCCGTATAATTTAGCTTTTTTTTTTTTTTTTTAATTTATTAAAAATATTATTAAACACAAAAAAGAAAATTAATTTAACAATTTAAAAAATTAACAAAGTAACTAAAAAAGAGTTAAATTAATTAATAAATTATAAATAAGATAAGTAAGATGAGACAGGGAAAATAAGCACTATCATAAAAAAACAAAATATGATTTAAGCACATAATAATAATAATAATAATAATAATAATAATAATAATAATAATAATAATAATAATAATAATAATAATAATAATAATAATAAGTGAAATGCCATTTTTACCCTCATATTTAACAGCCCTAACACTTATTTAACGGGGAGGGGGGAAAATAGCCACTTAAAAAATAATTAAGGGGAATAAAGTGGTTACATAAACAACACAGGGGGAAAATATGCTATATGTAAACAACACAGGGGGAAAAAGTGTTATTTTCCCTTTATTTACTTATTTTCTTTTTGTGTGTGGCATATACTTCTTTTTTTTTTTTTTTTTTTAAATGTTAATACAATTATAATTTTAATGCACTATCTTTGCTGAACTAAAGGTTCGTTTAGAAATTTAAAAAGCGAGTTCCAAAAGTCAATTTTTAATTTTTTTTAATATTTAATTATTCTTATGATAAATGAAGAAAATGAAAAATAATCATTCAATAATTTCTCTAATTTGCTAGCTGGCTGGAGGTACACAATACTACTTGTATGGATTTTTTTTCGCCCTAGGAGTGAGTAGTGTCTTATTAGCATATAAAAATTGATTATTATTATTATTTTTTTAAATCGCATTGCCTTCAATACCTTCATCTTTATTTTTTGTTTTTTGCTATCAATAAATAAAAGGGCAATTTATATCATGCACCACGGTGTACATAGTAATGTGCGTCCAGACACAAAACGTGCGCGTTTCATGCTGACGTCATACTGACATCACTCCGTCCATCTGAACAGACTAAACCTCATTATGTGTATTCAGTTAAAATTTATGTGTATTGTGTTATGAGTTTATGTGTATTCAGATAAGAGTTTATGTGTATTCAGTTAAAATTTTATGTGTATTGTGTTATGAGTTTATGTGTATTCAGATAAGAGTTTATGTGTATTATGTTAACCAAACCCATTATGTGTATTCAGTTAAAAGTTTATGTGTATTGTGTTATGAGTTTATGTGTGTTATGAAGTTTATGTGTATTATGTATTATGTATTATGTTAGATTATGTGTACTCTGTTATGAGTTTATATGTATTCTGTTATGAGTTTATGTGCATTCGAAATAGGGATTTTTTTTTAATAACTTAACAAAACGATGTCATTTTGGGAGGCGCAGAGCGCACAGTGCTATGTGCGCCCTGGTGCACGGTATAACAATTGACTGTGGCAAATTATATCATGCACCATTGTGCGCCCTGGCCCAAAACAACGTCGTTTTGTATTTTTTAATTTCATTTTTTTCCATTTCTGCCGTTAATCCGTTATCTTAAAAAAAAATCCATGTTTCGTATGTACATAATTGTATAGTAGAATACACATAAACTCCTAACACAATACACATAATCTAACATAATACACATAGACTCTTAACCGAATACACATAAACTCTTAACATAATACACATAACTCTTAACGTAATACATATATCTCTTAACATAATACACATAAACACAAGTGTTAAAAAAGAAAATTGTAACGAGATTGGACGGATGGAACGGTATCTGTCACGTCAACTCCCCACCAACTTATAAAAACATCGTCATTTTGAGCCAGAGCGCAAAATACATTGTGCACCATGGTGTAAGATATAACAATCCCACAGCTGTATGACCATGATTGGATCATTGGATGTACACTTTGTGGACCTGACACCACTTTGGTTTATTTGATCTTATTCTACTATTTGCTCCATTGTGCATTTTGCAGCCCATTATCACTTTGAGATTGGGCCTTTAAGCTATATTCTCTAAAATTTATTTTAGAGTTTATAACTTATTTTAAGATATAATAAATTAAACTTTATTTGATAAAATATAAAGAGTTTAAAATAATAATTTATTTTTGAATACTACCTAAGTAGTGTGTTAAAATATATTACGTACTAATATCTGTTAACTTTTAAGTTTTTAATTTTAACCTAGCTTATAAATTAGGTATATGAAATAGAGCGTTCGAGTAGGGCAAAAATTAGCAATTTCTTAACACAACTAATATTAAAAGCTAAATTAATAACAAATCACTCTATATAAAATCACATCAACTAATTTCACATTTTGTCATACATCTGAAGTAGTATATCTACATTTAATTCGACCAAATCATTTTTGGGACTTGATTTTGTCAGTTTTAAAAAGTTGAAAATGTTACTATCATCATATCTAATCCTGATAATAGGAATCATCTGATAATATTATACAAGAAAGTTCAGGTGGAAATCTACCACATTTCAAGTTCAAACCATGCTTTAATGACACCACTTTAGTCAAATTATCTTACAATAGGTATCATATGCAGTTTATCTAAGACCAAATGTAAATCAATGCCAATCAAGTCCACCTAAGGTGGTACATCCCCTTCCTTCCCACATTTCATTGCATCCCACTTCTTCATTGTCAACCCCTTCCTTCCCATAATCCCACCACCCACCTCCATTTGCATCTGAAAACGGAATGCCCAAACTTTCTATCAGAAGCTGAAACCATGGCTTGAAGCAGAAAATGCTTGAAACATAAGGGTTTATAAGATCATGGATTAAACTAGTTAATCGATTGGATTCAGTCTTTTAAGTGTGGTTTGACCAATGTGCATTATAGCCCAATTGAGCAACTTTGGCTCTATTGAGCATATAACCATTAATGTGCAATCCAACTATCAGCTTAGACTTATTAGGGACTTCTAGGAGAGCTATATATTTTAAGAACTCTAAAAGGAACTAGTTAGCTCGAGATTGATTGATAGTGGGAATATCTGACTTACAATGATTGAAGTAGTTAGCTGGTTTCTCAACAGTGGCATGACTCTTCCCTTTTCTGCTTTGCTTATTCTTTGAATCCCCTCCCAAGACTACAAGAACCTTTCGAGCAGATTGCCCGTCATCATTACCTTGTAATTCAAAACATAAGATGTATAGTGAATAGTGATGAGGCAAATAATACATCATATTAGCAGAATGGTTTGCCGGTTTGCTACAATCACACAGACATGCTAAAAACAGACGTAAATGATTACATTTGGGAAGAAATTGACTAACCTTCAAACACATTTCTTCTCTTCCTTGATACTTCCGTATCTTCTGTGCTAGAAATCACAGCTTCATCATCACAACCACTACCTCTATCACCATGTTCTTCCCCTTTATCAGATGGCTTAAGCTTTTCAAGTATAACATCAAGAGCACAATCTTTTTCCTTGCTATTTCCATTTTCTTTAGGGAATCTTATAGCGTCCTTGCTGCCCACTGGCGACAGAAATTGCTTCTCCTTCCTCTGTCAATATATTAAATCCCCCGTGTCCTTAAATTGAATAATCAAATATTAGACCCTAAAGAGCAACTACAACTATTTTATATGACTGATTGTAACTTTTGTACCAAAATATCCACCATGATTCAATTAATCTCCTCTAGCAAAGGATTAATGGAATTTTCTTCCCATACAAGCATCTCAAATACTAGGAAATTTTCCCTTTTTTGCAAATCAAATTACAAACTAGTACTATGCTCTACTTTCCAGTATAGAAAATTTTTACTAGATTCAACTAAAGCTTGAAAGAAGTCAAAAATAAGAATAAACATACTCACTTCAAGATTTCAAGAAAAGTACCTGAACTGAACCGGAAAGAACAGAACTTTTGTGCAATTTTTTGTTGAGGAAGTCCGAGAGAGAAATTTTTGGACACTTCTCACTGGGATTTTTGATTTCTACATCTTTATTGCTCCCATTTGACCTGAAATATTAAAAAAGAAGATGAAATAACTAATGCCCAAATGCATTTGAAAACTTTAGTTCTTTTCAGCAAAATAATGATAAAATATGCAATAAAACCTAATACCCATACCGAATAGAAGGGCGGAAGAGGAAAGTTGAAGGAATGGAGCGCTGCCCCGCTGCGCGGATTGAAGGTTTCTTGGAGTTCATCCTTCTGGGAGAATTATACACCAAAACCCTGTTTAATACGATACATGAACTGATATACAAATTTTTTTAGTATTTAACAGTCCTTTGATTTTTATAAATTAACGAAAATCGATTAAAAAAATTATTTTGGCGCCAACAGAGAAGTTAATTGGGCTTCTAGGAGACTAGGAGCCCAATTTCCAAACCCCGCCAATTTATCAATAGTTACAATTGGAAAATTATGTGTATGTGTCTATAACTAACAAATTATATTTTTGTAAATAAATTAAAAACACATAATATGTTAACTATAGTCACATAATATTTTAACTGACGGCACAAAACTACATATAATGTGTCTCCAGTTAAAATATTACTCTGTTTTAAAGTTAACATATTATGTGGGTTCAATTTATTTATACAGACACATAATATGCTAACGACATATATACATAATCTTAATGTCATTTTAGACTAGGGTGCACAATGTAAGGTGAATTATAGTCTATGGTATAATTTGTCCAATAGTTATATTGGCACTGTGGGTGGACCTTGACCCAAAATGATATCAATTCAACGGTTATATTAGTGGGGTGTTGTTTCACTTTTCAAAAATCACGCCAACACATGTTTCTGAACATATTTAAGACATATTAGGAACATGTAACACAATGAATGTTGTAGTGTCTAGTTTATGAAAATTAAATTTTAATTTGAGTTTATGAACATAGAGTGTCTAATTTCTGGACATTAAGCTTTGAATTTCTAAACATATAGTGTCTAGTTTTTTTTTTTTTTTTTTTTTTTTTTTTTTTTTTTTTTTGAGAATAGTGTCTAGTTTTAAACATTAAGTTTGAAGTTTCTAAACAGATAAATAGTTAACTTCGTTAACGGTGAAAAGGAAAAAAAATATGATTTTTAACAAAAACAACGTCATTTTGGATCAAGGTCTACCTTGCATGCTGGACCTTGGTGTAAAATAACGTCGTTTTATATTAAGTGTCAATTAATACATCATATTTAATAATATCATTATGTACTATGTTCAAAATATTTGTTCTATATGTCTATGAACCTATACATCTGAAGTTTCTAGCCTCATTATTGTGTATAAACCTAAACTTTAATGTCCATAAACACTAAACTAAATGTACATGTATTTCCATTCATTATATAGTATGTTCATAAAATGTTCATTCTATATGTTCATAAAAACAAAGTTTAATGTACATATATAGACATTATATCAAAGACATCATATTTAAGAGTAAATACCTAAAATGGTCCCTCAACTATAGCTAAATTCACAAATTGGTCCTCAACTTTTAATTTCAACCAATTAAGTCCTTAACTTTGCAATTTTAACACAATTTGGTCCTTTGTCTATTTGACTGTTTGTAGACCGCACTTTTTAGGATATATATGTAATTTCATGGTCCATCATCGGTTTTTTAAGGTTCCGGTTGCATTTCTAGACCGCACTGTTACATTTGAATCCACTGTCGGCGCTGCAGCCCATGCCGGAGAGATTACAGCTTTTGATAGATGGATCGCCGAAGTCCCTGGAGTGGCTATTCTAGAAAGCCGTGACTCCAAGCGATGTAGGCAAGCTGAACCGGCTCGGGATCCCCAAGCAGCAAGCGGAGAAGCACTTCCCCCCTCTGAAACGGCGCTGTCACCTCCAAGAGCGTTCTCTAAGCTGAACTGGCTCGTGATCCCCAAGCAGCAAGCGGAGAAGCACTTCCCCCTCCGAAACAACGATGTCACCTCCAAGAGCGTTCTCTTGAGCTTTGCACGTGAAACTACATATATATCCTCAAAGATCGTGGTCAACAAACGGTCAAATAGATGGAGGACCAAATCGGCAAATCGTGTCAAAATTGCAAAGTTAAGGACTTAATTGGTTGAAATTAAAAGTCGAGGACCAATTTGTGAATTTAGCTATAGTCGAGGGACCATTTTGGGTATTTACTCCATATTTAATAACAATCATCTTCTATTATGTTCATAACATTTGTTCTATAGGTCCGTAAACTTAAGCATTAATGTTCATAAACACTAAACTGAATGTATATCATATGTATTTACATTTACTCTATAGTAAGTTTATAATGTTTCTTTTATATATATGTTCATAAAAACAAACATTAGTGTACATAAACATTATACTTCATATGCATCATGTTTAACAACATTCATCATGTATTATATTCGAAATATTTGATCTATATATCCATAAACTTAAATTTTAATGTTCATAAACACTAAACTAAATGTTCATCATATGTATTTTCATTCGTTTTATAGTATGTTCTTAATACTCCTTTTATATGTTCATAAAAACAAAAACTTAATGTATATAAATATTATATTAAAGTAATATATGACTTTATGCAATGCAATAAAAACAAAGCTTAATATTATATTACAAATTTGAAGGTGCCATTATTGCATCATTTTGGGCGAAACTCAACCCCATCCACAATGAGGCCACACTTAGCATAAAATTGTCTGTTATCAAACAACCTTGCTTCAACCTCATCATCACCATCACAATCTCCTTTGGTAGTAGTCAAGAATTCCCCAATCTCTATCTCCATCCACTTGTCATCTCTCCGCCGGGGAATTTTTCCTCCGAGAAACATAGGATCGTAGCTAGGGTACGCCCGGGACTTGAGGTGAACCAGGCTTGCTTTCACTTCGGCTTCGCTATCACTCTCATGTCTCACAAACCGAACCGTAGCTTTCACTACTTCCAGGCCATGGTACACCGTTGCCACTCTGAACACTAGATATGCTGCATAGGTTGTTGCCGGGGACAACATTTGAGTTTGGATTCTGGCACGGATGTCTAAGAAGGTAGCGTTGATAATAGTTGCCACCTCTGAGAACCTGTATGTGATGGATGGGAATGTCTACGTTAGTGCTAATGGAGCAGCTAGCTAGCGTTAACAAGTAAAAAGATAATAAATTAATGATGTGTTTGGTTGGTGGGTTTTGCTCATAGGAATGGGTATGAAAGTGATTGTTGTTGTTTGTTTGATAAGTTTTTAGAATACTTCTATGGGTTTAGTATATCCCATCAATTGAAAAATTCATATCCAAATAAAATAAGGGTTTCATTCTCTTATTCATTCTCAAGCACTACTATTAGTAACTGATGGGGATATGGGACCCTAAGGGGTCCATTTTATTGGGAAAGTATTGGTCCCAGTGGGGGTGGTGAAAGAAGGAGGTTGGCCCAAGTCTTGTTGGGCTAGGAAGACAAGCACGCATGGTGGGCCGGGGTGAAGAGCATGGACCGGAAAGGGGAGGTAGGTATATATGGCGTGAGGGGGGGAGGTAGGTGGTCGCGGGGTGGCCGGAAGAACCGCCGGCTGGGGCGATGGCCCCAGCCGGCCACGACGCGCGGGCCTGCCCCTCCTCCCCCCGCGAGGGCACGGGGGCGGCGCCCGCTACGCCCACGGCCAGGGGCAGGTCGCCGGCTGGCGACACCGCGCCCGGCGCGTGGGGACGCGGGGGCGGTGGTCGCCGGCGCCCACGGCCAGGGCGGGACGCTGGCTGGGGCGCCGACCCCGGTTGGCGACGCCGCGCCCAGCGCCCTGTGGCGGGGGCGTGGCCTACGGCGCTGTGGCGGGTCGCCTGGCGGCCCGGGGTGGGGGGTGCGTGTAAGGGGCACGGGAATTTCCGAAGCATGTTGAACGTGCGGATTGGCGTACGGAAAAGGAAGGAGTGACGACTAAATTAAAGCACGTGGGGCATGTGGAGGCCCAGGAGGGAGGGGACAGGTTATAAATAGGGGTCCCGGATCCTTGGCTAAGGGCAACTCAGACACGACAGGCACTACGGTTTAGTGGTCTTGATCTCATACTCTCAATTTAGTCACCTGGGTTCGATTCCTACCAGTAGCATAGTTAGCTATATCCCATCCTGTGGGCCTTGTTCTTTGTATTTGGGCCGCCATTCCGGGCCTATACCTCGGGCTTTTGTACACATCGTTTTGGGCCTAGCGCCCTACCCCCGTTCTGTATCCCTGTACCCGGTTTATGGTGGACCCGGTCCCAATAAAAACATCAGTAATCATTCTCATTCCACCCTACTACCAACCATGTTAAATACTTTCATCAAAACCCATTACCATTACCATTACCGAGTATTTGATACCCATTCTGATTCCGATTCCGATTCCGATTCCGATTCCGATTCCTATGTGCGAACCAAACACACCCTAAACAAGGCTCAAACGCACCTAATAATCATAAATTAAAGATAACAGTCTCACTAGCATGGTTGAAAAAATAGCTAGGAGCTCGAAGGCGCATGGGCGACGAGTAATCGGCGCCTAGGTGCACATGTATTTTTTATTTTATTTTTTATTTTTTAAAATTTATTTAAATTTTTTTAATTTTGTTAAGACTTGATAATTATAAAAAGCTGCACGGTAAAGTATTAAAAGGCGCACGTTTAGTGTTAAAAATTACACTTTACAAAATGTGAAAGTGCAGTGCACATAATTAATGTTTGAATTTTAGAGTTTATGACTAAACTTTTTGGTTTTATTCAGTTTAGGAGTTCATTTTTTATTGCTTAGAGTTTAACATTTATAATTTCTGTTAAAAATAAATTTTTTCGGTGATATCTTGAAAAGTTATCTAAAAATACACATTATGTTGTTAAAAATTGCACAATATAGTGCTAAAAATTCCACGGCAAAATTGACAATAATTACAATAATGTCACAATATTTTTTTTTAATTCAACCCTACAGGTGAAAAGTGTAGTCAAATTCTAACTATCGATCTAATAAATCTAAAAATTGAAAAACAAGAAATAATTTTTTTTTAACACTTTTCACCTGTAGAGTCGATCGATAATTAGAATTTGCCTACACTTTTTTATTGGATCAAATCTCATACTTAATTGTATTATGTGTTCTAAACATCCTCAAAAGACATGATACAATTAAGTATGAGATTTGTAAAAGTAAATAACCTAGAACTAAAAACCTGGAATCAGCGGGAGATGTCCACTCCATTTGCAACGAGCTAGTATCTCCCCATGATATTATTTGTGTAGCTCCCAACATGTAGCATTTCTTCCCACTTCTTTTATCAACTGAAAATCTCTGTTTATAAATCATTAAATCTTGTCATATATTCATATAAAAAAGGGTAAAATAATTCATTTAATTTGCAGAAAAGGAAAAAATAAGATGAAAATGGGATGGATATAGGAAATTTACGAGTTTGCCCTGGTCTAAGAGGATAGGAGAGTGGCATAGGGCCAAGTAAAGGTCCTTCTTGGTGGCGTAGACAATAGGAGGAGGGAGTGATCTTGAGATAATGCTTTGATAATCGGACGGCAGAAATTTGTCCCAGACGACATCTGAGTCGGCGGCGGACTTGAACACGGCGGACACAACCGCCGATCTGGCTGCATCTTCCGGCGAGGTGAAGGAGATAATTTCCGCCACACAGGCTTCCGGCAACCTTGCAAAAGGCTCCATTTTAAGTCCACACCTTCTTTCTTCTGCTCGACGACCGATTATTTATTTATTTATTTATGCTATGAATAAAAATTGGTCGGAGAAAGAAAGTGGGAATCGTATGCCTGGAAGGCTTGTGTTATTTGTCATATATTGTATCAAAAATGGATAGGTAGGAGGTAGGACAATGGGTCAGCCGCCTAGTTTGACTGAAAGCAAATGTTTGTATTAAACCTTTGGACTTTTAGGAGTTGTTTAGTTTACAGAATGTCAGATTACCTTAGGAAATGTTAAATTGTTGAGAATGTTAGATTATTGGGAATATTAGATTTCTGTGTTTGGTTAAAATTGGGGTATATAATATAATCATGTTTTGTTTAGGCAGGGGCGGAGCCAGGATTTATTGGTGCCAGGGGCCAATCACAAAAGAGAGGATTCAACTGTCACCGCTTGTAGCCCAAGTTCACCGCGATTGTCATCGTCAACTCAACTAAGGAAACGAAAGAGAGGATTTAGCTACCATTTAATTACAATATCTAGACTTTTTGTTGGGGCGAAGATTGATGAATCCATCTCAAATAAACAATAATTCGTTAAAAATCCAAAGATTTAAAGAATAAAAAAGAAATGAAAAATTACCTATAGACTTCAGCTTGAAAATTGAAGCGAAATTACGTGTGTACCTGTTGTGCCTATCCGGTTTGGATGGTGTGAATATAAAACATACCTTAGAAGCTTTTTGGTCAAAGTACTTGCGAGGTTCCTGTACTATAATGTTTTGTTTAATGTAGTCTTTATACCTTTATTTTGTTAAATTTAGTCCCTGTAATTTTAAAAAGTGGTGCAATTAAGAACAATAGTTAACGGTGTTAATGTTACAGTTAACATGAGTTACATGGCGGCTGACAATATTTATAATCCTACTCATTTATTACTTTATAGATATTTAAAATTAATTATTTTTACCACCAATATATTAAATTAGTATGTCCAAAATAAATAATTATAAACATGCTTCTAATGAGATTTGGACAATTGTCCGTAATTTCACCACTTTTTAAAGTAGAGGGACTCAATTGAACAGAATAAATGTATAAGCACTAAATTGAACAAAATACTATAATTCAGGGACTTCATAGACATTTTGACCAAGTTTTTTGAATGGAGAAAATATTTTGATGAGGCGCCATAAAATAACTAAATAAAAAAAAATTTGGGAGGCCAAGCCCCCCTTGCTGCTGCTCTATACTACGTAGTAATAAAAAAGAAGAAAATTTGAGGGGGGGAGGGGGAGGGGGGGGGGGGCAAGGCCCCCTGGAGCTCTCAGGTGGCTCCGTCCCTGGGTTTATGGTTATCTTTTATACACACTATAATATCCTTAACATATTTTCATATATTTTAATAAATTTTAAAATTAAAATAAATAAATAAGATAACGGTATCATATATAATTACATGATTTTAAAATATTAACTAAAATCTTGAACTTGAGAAACAAAATTATTTTATATGCTAACATAACATAATAAGAATAAAAAAATATATAATTACAAATATATATATATATATATATATATATATATATATATATATATATATATATATATATATATAAATTAACATAACCAATGTTATCTTACATTACCTAAGATTTTGAAGGGAATCACATTCCTTTCAAAATCCTATGTGGAGGGAATGTAACATTCCTTAGGAATGTTAGATTCCCTAAGATAATATGAACCAAACACTAGGGGGCCGTTTGGTTCACGGAATGTTAGATTACCTTAGGGAATGTAAGATTACCTTAGGGAATGTTAGATTGCTGGGAATATTAGATTACTGGGAATGTTAGATTCCTGTGTTTGGTTAAAATTGAGGTATGTAATATAATCATGTTTGGTTTAGGGTTATCTTTTATATATATATATATATATATATATATATATATATATATATATAGTATCCTTAACATATTTTCATATATTTTAATAAATTTAATAATTAAATTAAATAAATAAGATAACGTTATCATGTATAATTACATGATTTTGAAATATTAACTAAAATCTTGAACTTGAAAACAAAATTATTTTATATGCTAACATAACGTAATAAAAAATATAAATATAATTACAGCAATAATAATAATAATAATAATAATAATAATAATAATAATAATAATAATAATAATAATAAGCTAACATAAAATATATATCTTTAAATAATTAGAATTAAAATGACAAAATTCATAAATATGCAAAGTTATCTTACATTACCTAACAAAATGAAGGGAATCACATTCCCTTCAAAATCCTATGTGGAGGGAATGTTACATTCCCTGGGAATGTTATATTCCCTCAGAGAAAATGAACCAAACATAGGAATGTAAGCTCGGGAATGTCACATTCCCTTGGTTATATAATATAACCTGAACCAAACGCCCCCTAGAATGTGAGCTTTTGAATGTCACATTCCTCTGGTTATGTTATATAACCTGAATCAAACGCTCCCTTAAATTTTCTTACTTTTTAAAAATAAAAATGATTAAAATTTTAGTTGTATATATATATATTTTTTAAATCTTGTACCATCTTCTTTAGCTGTAGTTTGTTTTTTAATTTTTTACGGCCGGGTTGAAGGAGATGAAGACAAGAGCCGAGTGAAGGAGATGGTACAATCCATAGTTGAAGAAACGAAAATTAAAAACAAAAAAAATTGGTGCATACAACTATAAAAATTTGTTTGAAGAGACGAAAAGATTTTTGCCTAAAATAGAGTCTAATATGAAAAAGTCATTGGAATGATAAAAATGTCAAAATAATGATAGTTTGGATTGTTATACACACACACACGAGGGACATGGCAGGGAATGGTATCTTGTCGCAGTCCCCATTCCCAACAAGGAATGATTTATCTCCCGTCTCCGTTTCTTGAATTTTGACCAATCTCCATTCATGTTTGGTCGAAAAAATTAACATCCATAATTCTTCTTTCATATAACTCTCCTATCAAACTGTAGACAAAATCATTGTTGCCTCAAATTAAATTAGGTGCCCACGCACAACTCAATTGATCACAAAAGTAAAATTTATCATAAGAGACTAAAACGGTCAGGCTCCTTAGGGGATGTTTGGTTCAGGAGGAAAACATTTTCCTTCAAGTGAAGGAAAATGTTGTTTTTTTGCTATTTGGTTCATGGAATTCATTTTCCATTGGAAAATGAATTCCTCGGATTTGAGGAAAATGGAAGATGGGAAGAAAAAATGATATAGTTTTGATTATTTTACTCATATTTTTTTTTGAATGCTGACTCTATTACAATGTAGTATCTGTTCATAACTACTTTCTCAATCCACTGAAGCACAAAGAGACAATAACGTCTCCCCTGAGATTCGAACTCACAACCTCCCATATGAGAGTCTTTCTTAATTATATTACTCTTATTAATTTGTAAGGGCATATACATCTTTATACTTGTTATTCTTTACAATTCTAAATCTAACCAAATAATGGAATTAGTATTCCTTCCACACTTCCACTTCCTTTAAAATATTTTCGACGAACCACGAGAGGAGCCTGATCTTTTTATCACACGATTAGGTGCCATAGTCCAATAATAGTGACATCACTAACAAACTTTCTAGAATCTTTTTTTTTTTTTTTTTTTTTTTGAAAATCAAAATCACAAAATTTTCATTAAACAGAAGATTTACACAAACTAAACCAGAAAAGCAACGAGGTATAAACTCAAAAAATTCAACCAATTCGTGATTTACATTAGACAATGGCCCTGTTTGGTAAAAAATTGGTCTATAGGCCAATTTTGGTCTATTTGACCACTATTAATTGTTTGATTTAGTTAAAATATCAATATAAATGTTTGGTTAATTAGTTTTTTGCAACTCTAAACGTTGAAATTCAAAAAGTTACTCCAAGCAACTTTTTCAATTAGTTTTTTGAAAAAAAAAATTATACCAAACAGATATCAGCTAACATCTAATTTACCAAACACTTTTCTACAATCAACTAATGTTATCAACTATTTATACTATCTAATTAACACAATCAGCTAACAACTAACAGCTATCAGCTAACAGCCATTTTACCAAAGAGGGCCAATGACTTTTTCTTTTTCTAGAATATGAGCTGGTCGCGTTATATTTTCACCTTGACGCATTGCATCCTGACCACCTTCGCATCCATCTCGAGGATCAATCACCCTTCTAGAATCTTAGGATAAAAACATCCTTGCTTGAGGGAATTGGATGATCGATGACAGGTTTATGTTAATTTTTTAATATTCATTTTTTGTTAATTACATTATTATTATAATTATTATTGTTAGGAGTGAGTTAAACGGGTAACAACTAAGGATGTAAAGAAAATACTGATTGAATTGTAAATTTAATGACGATATGTTAGTAAAATATTTCAATGATAAATTTAATCTCAAGTTAAGTTTGAATAGTAGATATATTAAAGTAAGGAAGGATAGTTTGAAAGGGAGACATTATTAAATTGATAGTGAAATTCTTACAACACATTTAATTGGACAAAAAAGAATGTAGAAACAAATTCTCAAAGTCAAATATTACATAATAAAGAGCAAATTAAAAATAAACTTAAGGATGAAGGCGTATCATATACATAGTACAACTATAATATAATTGAGGCGCAGGTTTTTATCTCTTCTGGAAGTTCAACACCTTGATGGCGTACGCGAAGGTGACGGCGAACATAACCGGGAAAACGACCAGCACGGCGGCCACCACTCCCAGGAAACTATGTTTGAACCCCAAGAAATCATCCAAGAGCTCCTTCACAGTTTGGTCGGCGTCGATGACTCGACTCTCCAGGTCTCCAAATTGCGAGGCAACCAAACCGTACAAAGTCCATGAAACTGGGCATGCCCAGAAATACCATCTCCACCAGATCGGCATCCTCTGTTTATCAAATCACACAAAAACATTATTAAATTTCTGCTTTATTTATTTAGACATATGACCGTTGTCCAAAATTGTATAAGAAAAGAATGTACTTACAGGTCTTGGGATCATGAAGCCGGAGAAGACGTTCCAGATTCCATAGAAGAAAGCAGAGACAATGGAAGCGACGTTTTGGTTGGGGGTGATGGCCACAG